TCCTCTATGAAAAAGAAAGTGCTGAGCCTTTCATGAACTGTGAACAGAAGGGGAAGAAGTGCATTGAGAAAAGGGCTTCCCTCATTTTCCATTACCCCCTCCCCCCCTATAGTTCCTTCAAACAGTGATGTTAAATTTCCCATGTGATTCCCGCAGTTTACTCTCAATCTATTTTAAGTCTGAGTTGAACCTAGTTGTTTGTAATGTTTGTGGTATAAAGCATCCTTTTAGTTTTGTTATTCATTTCCTTCCTATTTTGAAAGAGAAACAGCAAACTGCTTAGCTGAAATCCAGATATGTAGTTTATCGTAAATCAGTCTCCTGAGACAAGTAGGTGTTTTCATAAACTTATATTTGAAATGGAATTTGAAAGTAACAGTAATCAAAAAATAATCAAGGAAAGAAAAATGAAATGCACAGAATACACATTTATTGCCAGTGTTCTGGTTTTTTAGCTCTTACCAAAAGTCGAGTCAGTTGAAAATATAAAAACTACATTCAACGATTTGTTTTCATGCAAAACTGAATGATGAGTGAGAGTAGAGGAGAATTCATTCATCTGGGTTCATATTAAAAAGAAATCTGAAAATCTCAATGCAAGTAAAATGAGCTGAAAATCATATAAACAAACATTACGGAGCTTTTAGTGATTACTTGTTAAAAGTATACCAACATACCACTACATCATAAGTATGCCAGTATTTTATATGCACTGATTCATATTTTCAGAAGCCTGTTATTGATGCATGTTTCTCACCTGTTTGACAGAGTGCACACGATGTTAGCATGAAAACACACATACACACACAATTTTAATGGCAAGTAGAACAACAGACAGCTGCACACACTGAAACTGTGAAAACAACACGTTTCTGCCCTGACTTTTGCAGTTGATCCAGTATACACACCCCAGGATTTCTATTTAGCTTGGATCACTTGTATAAAGATAAGGGTAAGAGTGTTTTTTTGTTTTTTGTTTTTTTTGGTGGGGGGGTCAATCATCACAGTCACACATTTAGTACTTTTTTGTAAAATTGTACATACACCTGGCTGCTTTTTTCCCTCCTTTGTCTGTCTCTCATGTGGAAGTTCAAAGGTTACCATGACTCAAATCTAAAAAACATGACTTTTTATTCATTACTGGTCGTACAGAAGCAAGGCCCCATCAGTTGTCCTTTCTCCGTGAACACCATGACTTCACGTTAAAGAAGCAGGAGTCCTTGTCCCTACAGTCAAATATGGCAAGTGAGTGCTTTGACATCAAAAATATTTAAATATCAATTAAAATGCAGCACAGTGATTAGCACTGTTGCCTCACAGCAAGAAGGTCCTGAGTTCAATTCCATCGGGGTCTTTCTGTGTGGAGTTTGCATGTTCTCCCCGTGTTTGCGTGGGTTCTCTCCGGGTACTCCGGCTTTCTCCCACAGTCCAAAGACATGCAGTTAGTGGGGATAGGTTAACTGGTAATCCTAAATTTCCCATAGGTGTGAATGTGAGTGCAAATGGTTGTATGTCTCTGTGACAGACTAACAACCTGCCTCTCACCCTAAAACATCTGGGACAGGCTCCAATGACCCTGGAAAGGATAAGTGGAAGAGAATGCACGGATGCAATAATTTACATGTAGCTGTCAAACATATGATGAACATGACATAACAACACAAACTGTAAAATAAATACTATGATGTGGTTTGATGCTTTGTAGCAGATATATGCAAAAAAGGAACATGAAACTAGGCCATATATATAAACAGAAAATGCCATTTTACTGGATATAATCTGCTGATAAGTTTGATCTTGAATGTTCACATTCAAGATTCTTAGCCACCTCCAGCTGTCTTTTTGCCAGCCATAAGAGAGAGGACGTGCGCTTCAAGGATTCTAACATTGTCTTAAATGTCAGTCAGCTTTCATTAAGGAATAGAGATTCCCTGGTTCAGTTTCAGTTCCTAACAGACATTGGATGCATAACTAACACATTTCACTTCCAACCCCTCAGTCAATCCACTCCACAGTCTTAGGCCTACAACCTACAGTCCTACATTCCTCTTTACCACAGCATCACTGTAAACAGGGAGCAGTTATGATACTTAGCATAAAGTCATTTTTCATCTATACTTAACTCTGTTTCCCTGACACAGCCTTGATAATCCCCCGTGCATGATTGGTCTTACCCTTTGTTTACACATGACACTCTGAAAGGTGCTTTTGAAAGTGGGGGGCCAGCCAGAGACACATTGCATGAAAACATCACAGGACAGCTGCACAATCAAAAACGAAAAGTAAAACTCTTCCACTGGGTGCCGACCAGCAGGGACAAGAACTAATGTATTTGGACAGCTTGAAGTCAGAAGTCCAGGGGGTTATGACCCCGGGTCCTTTTTACGTCAGACTTTTTGTCTTGTGCCAGTTACCAGCCCTATAAAAACAGCTGTTTGGTTGACCAAGAGCTAGATGTGCTTCTGGTTGGAGTTTTTGGTTGCTGTTGCCATCTCGAACATTCATTTGTGATTCCCTCCAGACCAGAAAAATGTATGCAGCTCTTACGCTATTCTTCTTCATGTGCTTGACCGCCAGCACCCATGCAGATCACCATCAGCCTTGTCGTAAGACTTTGCAGTTTTACCCTATCCATAAAAAAAAAATGTTTTGAATTATTTCTCAGGCATCTTTTAGGATCGCTGCATTTTTTTTTAGTTACAACACACAAACTCCAGTCTATGTATTGGATCAAATTATATTTAATGTTTGTTAGTATATGAAAAGTCTTAACTGTCATACTTTTATCTTTCAGATGCACCCAATATGACAGGATTCATGTCTGTGGTAAGTTTTTAAAAATATATATTATTATTATTTGTCATTCAGATCAACTCCTGATCCTTGCATGACATTTTAAACTCTTTAACTCTCCCTTGTTGTGTCTCGCTGTATGCTTTCGAATGAAACTAGATGTCAATGAAAGGTGAAATGAAAGCATATGGTGCATTCACCTATGATTCAATGGGCAAGAAGCTACGGTTCAGATCAAACGAGAGCAGCGCCACAAACGCTTCACATAGTATGGATCTGCTGATGTTTTTCGAAGAGGTAACTGCTTTAAATCTGTAGCACCGATAAGTAAATACATGACTTGAAGTTGTTTAGCAACTTAACGTGCAAGTCTGTCTCTGGCAGGGGATATTCTACGAGATTGAAAGCAAAAACCAGAGCTGTGTGAAAAAAACGCTGCACTGCAGCATGCACCCTCTGGATATTCCCGACGATGCCACGTTTTCCACTAAAGAACACTCTGGGAGTGCAGCCATCGAAGGGGAGGGATTACAGCTAGACGTATGGACAGGATCGATGCCCGACAAGAAAGGTAGGGGGTGACGCGCTATAAACAGAGGAGAGAATTCGAGGGACGCTCCCGTATAACTGTGGTGATATTCACTGTATTTGAATGTTTTCTGTTCTCGTTTTCAGGCCACTATTCCATGTCTGTAACCAAGGGATGTTTGCCTATGTTCACTTTCTACTTCACTGAGTCCACATCATTCCTTTTCAGGTAAGCTGTGTTGATTTTTTTCAGCTCTTTTTAACATCTGAGCGATATACTACAGGGATGCAAACAACATACAGTGAATGCCCATAAAGTATCTCTGTCACTTTCTTACAGAACCATGGAGATTGAAAACGAGATCAAGGACCCCGATCTCCTTGTGGTGCCTTCCTTTTGTAAGGGACAGCCTGTGGAGGACACACCTGAAGGGACAGTAAATGGTTTCCTCAATGAGTTTGTGTAGATGAAGCCTCACCAGCAGAAAATTAAGCCCCTTATGCAAGCATGGCCTGCCAGAACTATAGACTTTTCTCTCCTTTTATGTGAGTTTTTCTTGTGACACTGCACTGCATCGCATCTGTTTCCATCACACCCTCAGCACCCGTGGGAAGATATGGCTTTGAACGCGTCACACTGTAAGCATACATGTTGATGTAAAGGGAGAAGAGGTGAAATGGATTTTAGAATTAGTTACAATTACTAACAGTTGGTGGCTTACCAAGTCGGCCTGCTTACAACACCTGTAAGATATGATTAATGGAACAATAAAATGTCAAAGCTGTCAAAAATCTCATGTTTTTCTTGTTGGTCCGAGTTTGTACAAATTTTGCCCTGGAGCAAAAAAACAAAAACCATGTGTCTAAAACAAATGACACCTTTTTAAATATATTAAAATATATTAAATAATATAGGAGATCTCATAGTAAAGACACTGCCAACATTGAATGAACAATTTAAGAATTGAATGACTACAACAGCAATAATCTTTGTTAATCAATAGCCTATATAATTTGATGGGTACCAGTGTGATTAGTGAAAAAACAAACAACACAAAAAACATAATTTTATTAATACGTGTATTCTGGCCCCAAATGAACTCTTTTGATTGTGTTACTGAGCTAAACTGATTAATCATTCTTTGTGTAGTAAGAACGCAGAAAATTCCCCTAAAGGTACAAAGTAGACACATGTTATTACTTTGTATGTTAGCATAATAAAATAAGCTTAAATGTACAACATTGTACACATCTATTGACTTACTTACTTAGCCTACTTGGAGTTTCATTCAGGCCACTAATGTATTTTCTGATAACTCATTCCGAAAAACTTCAGCAGTGCAGGGAGTGGAAGAAATAGGGCAGCTTTTACCAGCTAAATCCAAAGCTTTGCCCTTTTACGGATTCCAGTTCAGTCTTAAAGTTCTTACTTGATCAAAGAGCTGAGAGCATTTATCCCAACAACACTGTGCCCGTCAATTAGGGCACAGTGGTTAGGATTTGATTGACTATCAATAATCAATGACCCCTGCCTCATTGGGAAGTTAGGTACTGTCCTACCTAATGGACAATCTCCGTGACTCAATCGGCGATCACATGAGAGCGGTCCATATGGACCTGCAGCTACGAGGAACCAGGATATGGACCTGCAGCTACGATAGCCCTGACAGGATATGGTCCCTCGTAAGCGGCAGTACACAGTGTCGCCGACAGGTGGTGTGTGTGCTGCATGCATAACAACGACAATACACACTGTACCTTGCTATATTAGCCACCAAGAAGCTTCTTAACGTTAGCCAACAAATAAAACTACAATTTTTAAAATTTGGAAAATGACAGCCAGTGCAGGGAATTGACGAAAGCATTCTCTATGAACAGTCCGTACCGCGTGGATTATTTGATTTCAGTCCGTCTTTGAATTAAAACGAGGTAAGTAAAATGGCGGATAGCTAACGTTAACATCAAGGGAGTTTGCCATTGAAGCCGCTTTTCTGGGTTAGCTGTCAAGACACTTGTTAGTGTCACCAATAGTCATACCTATAGAAATACTAGTTCATCAGAATGTGCTATAGTCAAGATAGTTACCAACTGCAGCCTCTGTGTGTTTCCAGTTTGTGTTATATGTGCTAGTGGTCCAGTTAGCCAGCTACAGCTAACGGTAATACTAGCTAAGCTAGTTTCTTATGGTGTATCAAAACACTGGCGCTAAGTCTAGTCGCAGTTGTGGGAGCCCGGTATTAATTAATTAGAGAAGAAGGTCAAAGGGTAGCTAACTAAACAGAGCGTTGATGTATGTGGCCAAGATCACATTATCAATAGATTTAGCTCACATTAGCCTGAGAACTGCTTGGCCGTCGTAAAAACGACGGCACGTCAGAAGGAGATGAGAGCCGATAGCAGACTCAGCCTCCCAAACATCTGTGGTTGTTTGTATTTCGGAAGTATACAACTGCGCGTGTCACAACTGTGGTGTGATTAAATTGTTTCAAATTACGAGTAACGATACAGTTTACCGACACGGTGGACAGTAATAAAAGCGAAAGACAATTGTGCTCATCAGTAGCTAACGTTTTATTGAGACGCTGAAATCCGTACAGTATGCATATCCATTTATGGCGTTCAGAGCCTAGGGACAAGCCCCTACTCTGCTCAGGAAAAGCCGTGTCGTGTTTACTGGGATTTCCACTTACAGTATGTTCTATTGTGCAAGAGCGGTCCGCAGTTTCCCCTTTTCTCTGAAAGTATCTGCTATAAACGTAAAGTTACGCAGAAAGTTATGGAACAGACGCGATCACATGCCTTTTTTCTTTTTTTCTTAAAAAAAAAAAAAACGTTCATTAAGTAACACATTTCTAAGTATCTGTTTTAAAGTCTTAGAGCTGGGAGACAAAATCACTGATTTTCAGCTCCGAATAACAGCTGTGTTGGAGATACAAGTGTAGTTTGCAAGTTGTAAAGTGGACAGTGAAAGTGAGTCTGGGGAAAACACACCCCTTAAGCTTGGAAAGCTTTTTTTTGAGAATGGCCACTAACAAGATGTATTACTTAACTTTGCCAGTGTATTATCTTCAGTTAATTAATTAATGTGATATATGTGTTTTTTTTATGCCACAAGTCATGACATCTTAGAATTTGGACCCAGCAAATTTGGAGCATTTTGAACCAGTAGTGCAGTCAAACAAGCATTTCCTCTTGCATTTCTCCGTCTATAAGCCTGTTGTAGAACACTTAAAAACTCAGATGTCATTAAAAATAGTTCCATGTATCCCAGTAAACTGCAACAGTGTGACACAGTCAGTGTGCGCACTACTGGGGTCTCACTCATCTGAAATATTTTCTTAGCAGCTACCATGCAGCAACCAGAATCCAGCCCCTGGTTGTCAAAAAGATTAATCTGTAATTCCATGTATTACTTAATAGTTTGCTGTAGTACTGTCAAGTGATCCACAACAAATAGAGACTTTTTTACTAAGCCTAACAGCCCTTGATAGTGGTAATAAACATGGCAAGTGCAGAGGTTTGGTATTGCTGATGTGCTTATGTGGAGCCTGGATGGGTGGATTTCTTATTTTGATGTCAATGTGTAATTTTTATCTTGCTGCTTCAGCTGGATAAATCACATTAATTGGTCTTACAACTGGCATCAAAACATATTGTTGTTGTCTGAATGTCAATGTACTAATTAGCTAGATAGATCTAGCTGACTTGCGAACGAACATGGTGCATCCCAGGTTGAGATAAGCGGCTCTGTTACACGCTCTCTGCTTTTCCCATTGCAAAGCTAACATTATTACTATGTCTGTCAGCAGGTTTGGCTCACAGTTTAACATACTGTAGCCGCGTTCCAAATCTTGTGTTTGCGTTTACAACCTGCATACCATGCATTAACACGCCTTTATGCAGATAAGTTATCTGGATACAGATAATCAGATTTAAATAGGTTATTAAAGCTTTGTGTGCCCTGACAGTGACACAACCACGCTCTCTTCTTGCCCTTCAATATTAGTTTCGACAAAAAGTGTGAATCAGTTGGTACTATTATGATTACAATGATTAATCTTACCACGAAATGTGGGAAGAGTTTCATCTCAGCCACAACTATGTGCAGTATGACTAAACTAATAGCAAACAAAATGTACTTTTCATGTCAGTATTGAGCACGTTAAAAAATAACTGTAGGCTAGAAGGAATTTGTCCTAAGTGTTGAAGACTTCTTTGACTTTGGGCTCACATGAAATGGTTAAGAAGACTATGACTAAAATCATGCAAAGACTTGTTACTGAAAAAGTAATGTCCTTCTTGCCAAAGAAGGTTTAGTATGACCCATATATGATCAATGTAAATGGAGTTCGTTAAGTCCAATCAAGGTGTATTTATTAAACGACATTTATAAGGATAACATTTTGAGGGTTTAAAATAACAGCTAAATTTCTTTTGCGTTTGTTTATTAAGTTTATTCTTACCTTTATTGTAATATTATAATAATTTTCTAACAGATAAATATTGGCCACAGGGATATGTGAATGTTGTCTTATTTGTTAATAGGATGTAAGTTGAAAAGTCACATATTTTGGTGAATCCTTGAAGGAACTGCACAGTAACAGTAAAACCTCAAAACACAGTGGAGGGAACATCATGGTTTGTGGCTGGTTTGCTACTTTAGTACCTGGATGCCTTGCAGCCATTGAGAGACCAGTGATAATGAAATCGAATCAAGAACTTCTCTTGAATGCTTGGCAAGTTGTTCACAACCTTAAATCATTATAAAAATGGTTATACATTTTTTGACTTGGCCAAAGTCTTACTCTTACCCAGGTCCCGGTCCTGTAAAGCAGCAGTCCCCAACCCCCGGGTTTGGTACCGGGCCTAGAGAGTTGAAAATTTGTGTGAACATTTTTTTCTGGGGTACTTTGTTGTATTTATCCAGGACACCTTAAAGGCCGGTCTGTGAAAATATTGTCGGGCATAAAGCGGTCCGTGGCGCAAAAAAGGTCGGGGACCGCTGCTGTAAAGTATCTCTGAAACATTGCAGAAGTCTCTAAACCAGAAACATCTGATGGAGTTTATAGCTGATAAAGGCAGTTCTACAGGTCACTTAAATCAGTGTTTGTTTTGTGAATGGCTATACAGAGTTAAATAACAACATGTAAAGTCCAACTGTAACTTAGAAAAAACATTTATAAGTAATCTATGCAGAAGGAAATCCCGGCCTTTTCAAAGGATTTATTAACATTTTCTTGAAACAGCAGGGGTGGGCCCTATATAAGATTATTTTGACTGTACAGTGATTTTTTGTTTGCTTCATTCATTTCATTTTTTAATAATTATGTTCTTTTTCTTTTTCATGTGCTATTATAAAGGTATATCCTTGCTCAGCACCCAGAGCAGTAAGAGCACCTACTCCAGCAGATCCAGAAAATGTTAAAGAAATGATAGCAGCGCAGGACTTGCACACTGAGTTTCAGTTTCCTCAGTAAGTAGAACAACATGGAAGTGTTACTGTAATGTTTTTATGTCCTTCAATGTTTATTTTGTATGTATGCACTGATGATATTTGAGATCGTTTTTGCTATGCTTGTGTTACTTTTTGCAGTTGTAATAAATACTAATAATGTGTTATGCACAGAGAGGCAGAATCTCAGTTGTCTTCAGATACTGACCTTGAGGATCCCGATGGCAAAAATGCGAAGACAGGAAAGGGCCTGGTATGTTTTCCTGACTTTCTTATCTTGGGCACTGTGCTGAGAAGCACTTTTAACACCGTCTGTTATCTGGCTTCACTTACTCCGACATCAGCGATCAGGCAAGGCAGTCACGTGAAAGTGGTTAGAAATTTAAAAGTGTTAGTCAACCCAGGGTTATAATCAGTCTATCTAAGAGCACCTCCACATGAATGGGATGACTGTAGCGCATTAGAAAGGAAAATAAAACTATAATAACAGGAAACTGTAAAGTGGTTACACACCTAATACAGACTTAAAGTAACACAGTTATTGCGCAGAAACTTGTCGTGTGAGTGCATGTTAGAGGAAAAGAGCTGTAAGGCTGGAAAATACCTACTGTATAAATAAAGTTTAGCCAATTTGAAGCAAGAAAGGGAAAATTGGCAAAAATGCAGACTGTGTAAGTAAACAGTTAGTCAGACAGATTACAGCCATTATTATTATTATTAATGTTTTGATAATGATAATGTAATTAATACATTTTTATTTAATTTGATTACATTTGTAGTTGGTTTTTTTTACAATTACATAACAATTATATTATAATCGTAATTTTATTGTATAATATTAACTATTAATTGTAATTAGTAATAACTATAACTTAATTAGATAGTTTAAGGTTGGGGTTTTTTTTTTTCAGGGAATTGATTGGTTATTGGATTGTGATTTTGTACCTGTTGATTTCTCATTTCAAACACCATGAGTTACTATGTGCTCCAGTAGGAAGCGAACCACCTTCTTAAAAGCCAGAGTGAAACCTGGAAAAGCCCAAATCCTGCCTTGTAGTACAGGCCTCGGTTTATGTGCAGTCATGGTGACACGCAGGCTTGCACTATATCCACATACACTGAGTAGAAATCAGTAAAACATCCTCACTGGTTTCCCGCTATCACAATGCTAATACATAGTCAAAAAAGTTTATATCATGCAGCAGCTACGTTTGATAAGAAAATAAGTCTGTTTCATCTCTGCATCAAATGTCTGTAATGTGATTTAGTTCCGTTGTTCTAATGCCCAGTAACCAGATAAGCTATTGAGTATAGAGGCACACTGATGCAGTGTATGATAACAGAAGAACATCTTTCTCCTCATTAGGCAGCCAAGAAAGGGAAGAAGGCGCTTGGAGACAAGGCCAAAGGTGGTGGAGCTGGGAGGGTCACTGGTCCCGGCTGGGTGAATGGCCACCATCAGGAGAATGGAATGGAGAACATGACCTTGTTTGAGGTGGTTAAAATGGGGAAGAGCGCCACACAGGTGGGTGCACGGATTCTAATTTTCAATCAGTAACAATATGTAGCCTGGTTTAGTGTCTGTGGTTCTCATTTTTTGAACACTTAATCCATAAAGCTTGATTTGTATTACTGTATTAAACCTTTGCTATAGCTACTGTGGGCATTTCAAGCTAACAACACACTCTATGCAGTGGACTTCATTTCTGTTTATTTTTTAAAGGAGTGCCACACAAGACTTATTGACAGCTTTTTTGTTTTTACATCTGACCTGATTTCCTTGAACCTTATGCATTGCGGTTAGAAGCAAGTTCTGTTTCTGTTTTTGTTCAGTAGTGGCTGCTAAAAAACTAGGTGTATTACTGCTGCCTCCTGGTGGTAATACTGGACAAACAGGGGTTTTTTTTCTTAAAAGATAACTATAGTCAAAAGTATTACCCACGCCTGATGTGCATCGATACATTAACTACACATGGCAGCAACTCAATATACCGAAAGGCAGCATATTGATTAGCACAAAGATAATACCATTAAACAAAATGTAATAGACTGTAGCTTGATGTTAATGCGATAGCTAGTATTCTTTCAACATAGACATTAGCCTAGCTCTGATAATCTGTTTTATGGCTCAGTTATTTCAGGACTCTTCTCTGCTCTGCGTTTTACTAAACGTAACAGTTGTTCAAAATGTAATAGGTCCAAGTCAAACATGATCAGCTCAGTTTCATTCGTAAATCCAGACCGATGCAGGCTCCTCAGCGTACAAGTGCAAACGGCAATGACAGCCACCATGGCATAAGCTCCTCTTAGTTATGGCTGGATCAGGTGACCCTGAATTCTCCCTTAGTTACTTTGCAATGCGTCTAAGCTGCTAGGGGCTTCCCATGATGCAGTATTAAGTGTTTCTTCTTTACTCCCCCCCTTTTTTTTTTACACTTCCTGTGTGGTTATATACCCACCCTCCCCCCTTAACCATTAGTTATTCATCTTTGGCCGTGTTCAACAGTGTGTCTTTGTCCTGTCCCCTCACCCCCGACCTTCCACTTGAGGTTTCTTTCTGTTAAAAGGGAGTTTTTCCTTCCCACTGTCACCACATGTTTGCTCATATGGGGTCTTTTGATTGTTGGGGTTTTCTCTGTATTAACATTTTTTTTTTTTACTTTACAATATAAACCGCCTTGATGTGCTTGTTCTTGTGGTGATTTGACATTATATAAATAAAACTGAATTGAATTGCGGGGATTCAGCACAACTATAAATCAAGCTTAATGGATTAAGAGGAGTCAACAAAGCATGCTCTCTAAGGAATGTTTTCCTTAGAGAAGTTATATTTTAGTTAGAAGTGTAAATAACTATGTGATAATTGTGTAAGTGTGCTTCCCTTTCCAGTCTGTGGTTGATGACTGGATTGAGGCATACAAACATGACAGGGACACCACTCTTTTGGACTTAATCAACTTCTTCATTCAGTGCTCTGGCTGTAAAGGTAGTTTTCCTACTTGTATTGTCTAAATGTGCAGCATGTTGGGTGCCTGAAAGCACATTCACACGCTCAATTTTACTGTATTAGGTGCTGTGAGTGGAGAGATGTTCAGACATATGCAGAACTCGGAAATCATCCGGAAAATGACAGAGGAGTTTGATGAGGTGATGTAGGCTGTGTTTCAATACAACGTATTTTAAAAGAACCACATCAGTATGGGAGATGTTTTTAATCTGGCCTGAAACAAATGTAATACTTGGGACCCCAATCTGATTATCTCTGTGCTGTACAGGACAGCGGCGACTATCCATTAACCCTCTCAGGACCACAGTGGAAGAAATTCAGGATAAACTTCTGCGACTTCATTGCGGTTCTGGTGCGACAGTGTCAGTACAGCATCATTTATGACGAGTATATGATGGACACAATCATCTCGCTACTCACCGGCCTGTCTGACTCACAGGTCAGGGCCTTTAGACACACAAGCACACTAGCAGGTCAGTTTTATTGTGGATCTTGTCTCCATCCTGCACGCCCATGCTGCTGTTATCTGACAGCTGTTGTTCCTACACGCATGTGTTTTAAACATTGTTGTCTCTGCCAGCCATGAAGTTGATGACAGCCTTGGTGAACGTGGCTCTGAACCTAAGCATCAATATGGACAACACACAGAGACAGTATGAGGCAGAAAGAAACAAGGTCATTGCTAAGAGGGCCAATGATAGGTTGGAGCTACTGTTACAGAAGCGCAAAGAGGTAAGAAGAACGATAAGCTGTCAAGCATTCAACCCAGGGTTGATGTTGGAGTGTAATACAGCAACACGTCAGTGGGTGTGAGCGTTGTTTAACTCTGTCATTTTAATTTTTCACTCTATATATGAATTGACTGGGGGGGGGGCATGCTGCTGATTGTATTTGCCCCTTCACGTGCAGGTGTAGCCTTTTCTGCCTTTGTGTCTCTGGAGAATAGACTCAGTCACTACTGATTTATTTAAAGCCCCACCCCAACCAGCTATAACCTAAAATTATGACTTTGTTTACCGTTCCGTGGCCTTGTAATTCACTCTGTTTATTTTAGCTCATTATTTTATTGATATTTTTAGCGCAGCCACAGAAGCATACTTCTCTCTTTCCAACAGCTGCTTCAGGGTCTTAATGCAGGCAGCCTAACATCGCCTCCTGAAGGCTCAATCCCTGTGACTGCCGCTTTCCCTTCAATGCATGTCGTATTAGTCATGGTTAATTTAGAAAGACATCATGTTCAATCACGGTTTCCTTTTCTCTCACAGTTTGTCAGTGCTGTAATGACACGTCATTGGCCACTGGATTAAAACAGTGTGTTTTTTCACCAACACTTTTCGTTGCCTCTCCGCATCAGTTCAGATGACATCTGGAAATTCTACAGTTAGAAAAAGTTGGGGGCTTTTTAGACTTGTGATTGCATGGGCTATTATTAAATTCAGAGGAGGGTGGCTGTGCTTAATGGCAACTTACAAAGTGTCAGTTATGACGTTATATGAATCTGACGACACGTCTCCTGGTGAATCATTTAAAATGAGTGATTTTACCATAAAAGACTGTTGGATCTCACTTTGAGATCTTGTGAATGTCTCACAGAAGCGGTATGAAAGATTTAGTGTAAAACTGAACTATTCCTGCATGAGGCCACTGATCCAAATCTGAAATGATAAGACTGGTAGTTTCTTTATTGATTGCCTTTGTAATAAGCACATTGAACAGGACTGGTTCTTTTTATTTTGAGTTTATTCTACATAAACTGTCCTTTCTAGTTCACAAAATGCATATAAATCCAGTATTTCTGGTTTACCTTTAACAATGGTAACAAATAGTGGATGAAATCTGTAAAAAATCAAAGTATAGAACAATGCCAACCGTAATCTTGGACTTTCAGGGAGTTTTTGTGCAATTAATTTCAAAAACCTTCTGTTTATCTTTTAGCTTCAAGAAAATCAAGATGAAATTGAAAACATGATGAATGCAATCTTCAAGGGAGTGTTTGTTCACAGATATCGGTAAGTAAATCCTTAAGCGAAAAGGAATTCCCCGAGATTATTCTGGTAAATGGCAACCAGACTGTGTGCTGAATGTAAGATTTCATCACGGGCTTCTTATCACTTTTGAGTTTGTACAACAAGAAGCAGACAGAACAGAGTTCATTTAGAGTGTTTTGGCACCCTCTAGTGCAAAATCAATGTTAATACAAGCATGAGTTCTTTATTCACAATGAACCTTCTTCAGTGCTGTTTGCAGCTGCCAGGTCTGTTACAGGCCCGTTTACTAAATTTAGTGAATTCTCTTTGTTTTTGCCAGCGATGCCATTGCTGAAATCAGAGCCATTTGTATTGAGGAAATAGGAGTGTGGATGAAGCTGTACAGTGACGCCTTCCTTAATGACAGCTACCTAAAGTATGTTGGCTGGACAATGCATGACAAGGTGAGTTTATGGAAAAAACGTGTGTTAATGGAAGAACAAATTAAAGCCCACATCTTAAATCTTAGGCTATGTTCACACTGCAGGCGAAAGCGCATCAAATCCGATTTTTTTGACCCTATGCGACCCATATCCGATCATGGTATGACAGTGTGAACGGCACAAATCCGATATTTTCAAATCCGATCTGGGTCACTTTCGTATGTGG